TTGGCTAACATAGTAAATGCAACATGTACAGAAAACTCTCCAGGTGAAATATAATTAAAATCATACATGAATGTAAAAAGAAAGAAAGGAAAGTTTCAAGTGCAAAGAACCAAATAGGCTATCAAAACCAAAGCAAGGAGATCTTTGGGGAAATGCAGATTAAAATGTACTATTGCTAGGAAGAACTGGAGTTTTTCCTAAGAGCATTTCCTGTGGGAACTGGTATGAAAAGCACAGATACAAGGAGGAGATTAGTGGAAGTGTGCTTCCTAAGAAACAGAAGAGATGGGAAGCGGCAATCTTGACCATAAGAAGGTACTGACCCTTGGAGCAGCAGGATAGAATGAGATACTAAGAAACAATATAAGGCACAAAGAATTAGAAATGATAAAATAATAAAATAGAGCAGTTTTGATGATGATATAGTGGAATAGACCAAAATAAAAAAAATCATGGAATGTGGAAAGTTTGGTTGTTCAGGGGATTTTGAAGCACTTTCAGATATCCTCTGTCAGTAAGGAAGAGGCTAATTATACTGATCAGCTACAGATGTGTCGATGTAGGGTAAGATACAATGCTAAGATGACAAGGTAAACATCCTATCTTCTGTTTATTAAATCTAATTCCTTATGAAAGTGGAAAAAGCTATGAGGTCAAAGAAAAATGAAGAAAGAAATGATATTATTTGCATATGTTACATCTAGCTTCATTTAAAATCTAAAATATTCTACATCCACCATTTTAGACTATAACAGAATTCATCAAGGTTGCTGTAAAATGATTACAACTTTCTATATTATAGTTTGGAAAAGCAATACATTTAAAAAATTAAGTCTGTAATATTAATATATTTTTTATTGCACCTTGAGATTTTTCTTAGGTACAGTATGAGCTGTCCTAGACTTTTACGGAGATAATCAGACAATAATTTATAGATAAAAATTTATTGAATTTATAGATAAAATGTATTGAATTATATTAAAGAAGACTTTAAATGGAGACAGATAGCATCTATAGATGAAAATAATATTATAATGATATACGTTCTTCTGTAAATAACATTGTAAAACATTCATCCCCAGTTGACCTATAAATTTAGTGCAGTGTTTTTCATGGAACTTGGCACATTTATTTAAAATTAACATACAGGAGTGAAGATCCATGAAGGGCCAAATGATTCTGAAGATGAATCAAAGAATGAAGATTTCTCATGTCAAAACTGAAGGCTTTGCCCTATTACAAAGGTATAGTAACTAAAGTAGTCATACATCCAGGATCAGCAGACAGATCCGACAAGCAGAAGGCAGAGTTTGGACACAGACCCAAACACAAAGGCTAATGTGGCCTATACAGAAATTGCATCATCAGTCAGTAGGCTGTTCTGTCACTAAACAATGTTTGAAAAATTGAAAGTCTTGTGAGAGAAAACTTGGTATTTTTCACACTCATACAGAAAAGGTAAGTGGACATGAATAAAAGATGTAAATGTAAGAAACAAAAATTTAAGTATCTGTCTCTGACCAAATTCAGAAGGGGATTTTTGAGATACCCTGATGTGTAAATACTCTTTATGAAAAGATAAAAAAAAAACACGATTTCATTGAAAGTATTTGATAAATTAGATCAAAACAAAATGAAATGTTTGGCATGAATGAAGACAATATAAAGCAGAAAGACAAAACAAAGTGGAAGGGTGAGTATCCACTACATTTTTAAAAACCAACACATAAACTGATGCAAAATGAGCTAATGGTGTGATTAGGATGTTCACACCTGAACTCTGCTTTCTGAAAAGCATATGCAAAGATTGTTATGCTTCCTAGTAATCAACAGAGGAAAATAAGGTGCGTAGGCCGCTCCTAGGTTTTGAAGAAATTTAAAAGCCCAGCCCTTCAGGTGCTTGAAGATCCTTGAAAAGCAGAGAATTCCACTGCATTTGTCTTAATTTTGATCATTTTATAATTGACCTGTGAGCATTTAGAGGTGTCAGCCAGCAAGACAGCCAGGTGTGCGGAAACAGGAAAGAGTGCAAGGAAAGAGATTTCAGGAGTGACAAAGTGGGTGTGTGAGGAGGTTGGCAAAGAAAAATGCCAGTGCTGGCCCACTGATCATGTAAATTTCCAACTAGGCCTGAAATGACGCTGGCATCAGACACAAAAGGAATCTTTTCTGAAAGGATCTGAGAAATGATCAGTGTTTGTAACAAGGTCGTCAAATCTTGGTGAACTCTTCCCAAGATCCCTGTACAGTGTACTGAAAATAAATGAGTGACAACCTATCTGCAGGAGGAGGAGGTCCTGTTATTTAAACCTCTTTAGCAGGATACAAGGTCAAGACACAAAAATCAATAGCCTTCTTGTACACAAACAACAGACTCACTGAGAGAGAAATTAGAGAAACAATTTCTTTCACAATAGCATCCCAAAAAATGAAGAATCTAGGAATTAACCTAACAAAAGAAGCAAAAGACCTCTACACTGAAAACTACAGCACTCTGAAAAAAGAGATCGAAGAGGGTATAAGAAAATGGAAAGATCTCCCCTGCTCCTGGGAAGGAAGAATCAACATAGTGAAAATGGACATACTACCAAAACTGTTATACAGATTCAATGCAATGCCAATTGAAATTCCAACACTGTGCCTCACAGAACTAGAAAGAAGAGCCCCAAAATTCATTTGGAACCCTAAGAGATCTAGAATAGCTAAAGCCATCCTAGGCAACAGACACATGACAGCGGGCATAACAATTCCCAATTTGAAACTAGACTACAAGGCCACCGTGATAAAAACAGCATGCTACTGGCAAACAAACAGACTGGAAGACACAAAAACAACTCCAGATGTACTCAGCTACCTCATCTTTGACAAAGGAGCTGACCATCCCCACAGGAGGAAAGATAGCCTCTTTAATAAATGGTGTTGGAAAAACTGGATCTCAACCTGCCAAAGATTAAAACTAGACCCTTATCTCTCACCAGGCACTAAATTAAAATCCAAGTGGATTAAAGATCTAAACATAAAAACAGAAACACTAAACTTGCTGGAAGATAAGTTAGGCAGAACTCTGGAAGACATTGGCATAGGAAAAGACTTTATGAACAAATCCTCAGTAGCACGGGAATTAGCAGGAGGAATCAACAAATGGGATCTCATCTTATTAAAAAGCTTCTTCACTGCAAAAGAGACCATCAACAGAACTAAGAGACAACCTACAATGTGAGAAAAAATTTTACCAGCTGCTCCTCAGACAAAGGATTATTATCTAGAATATATAAAGAACTCAAAACAATCAGCCCCCCAAATATAAAGACCCAACTCAAAAATAGGCATCTGAAATGAACAGATATTTCTTAGACAAAGAAGTAAAAGCAGCAAGTAAATATATGAAAAATGTTCCACATCACTGGTCATTCGAGAGATGCAGATGAAAACAACACTGAGATTCCACCTCACCCCACAAAGAATGGCTGCTATCAAGAAATCAATCAATAACACATGCTGGTGGGGTTGTGAGGAAGTAGAAACTTTTCTCCATTGTTGGTGGGAGTGCAGACTGGTACAACCATTGTGGAAATCCATATGGAGATATCTCAAAATACTAGGATTAGAGGTCCCATTTGAGCCAGCTGCCCTCAACTGGGTATCTTTCCAAAAGAATTAAAAGAATCATACCACAGTGAAATATGCGCACCTATGTTTATAGCAGCACAGTTTGTAATAGCTAAAATTTGGAAACGGCCCATTTGCCCCTCAGTTCGAAAATGGATAAAGAAGATGTGGTTTTTCTATAAAATGGAATATTACTCAGCCATAAAGAATGATAAAGTAGATTCATTCATAGGAAAATGGATACATTTTGAGGATATACTCCTAAGTGAAATAAATAAGTCACACACGTGTAAATATCGAGTAGTTTCTCTGGTGTGAAAAACTAAAATAGTACTCAAGATCCTAACAGGATAATTAGCAATGTGAAATAGGAAGAAAAGGGCTAAAGGTGTAGGGACAGTGGGAAGGGAAAGGGAAAAATGTGAGAAAATGTAAAAATGGAATTAAAGTGTTTGTCGGTGGGGAGGGGAGAAGGGGTTGAAGGGATGGCAGGGACAAGGGGAAAAAATGAGAACCAAGACCTGGCATGTAAAGGTACAAGATCCCAGTAATGAATGTAACTGTACTGTAAAGCTAGGATATACCAATACATTCAATAAAAAAACCTCTTTACTTGTGTGTCTTGCTTATTTAAAGACTTGTTCCTTAATTACAAAATGAACAAAAGTGAAATGAAATGCCCTCATTAGTAGGATGTGTACTGAAATACCATCATTGGACTGCATTTCTCTTGAAAGAGGACATAAAAGATCGGAATAGGGTTCGATTCTGCTGAGTTGGAGTCTGGACACACAGGATGGAAGGGGTTTGAAGCTGTTGGTACAGGAGGTAGGGTGTTGAAAAGTGGGCCAGAGAAGTGGGCAGTGACTGTCAATGTCAAGATCCTAGGGCCAATGGGATGATTCTGAGGACCACATATGTAGAACTTGTCCTGGGCTCCTATGGCATGAAGGAGACCAGTATCAGGTCTTCAGGATTTTTACTTTTCTCTTTTTTTCTGTTCTTCCCTCCGCTTTTCGCCCCTCACCTTTAAAATAAACTTTTGATGCCACTTTTGACCAGCCAAATTCTTTGTTCGAGAGAAAAATGACTACTTCTGTTTGGTGAGCCATTTTTAAAAGAACTACCTGACAACACTAAGATCTTCCCGCATCAGCCTCTGTTCCCAGAGTGAACTGTGGGGTCCACAGGAACAAAACCTTCAACCTGCTGGAGACTCCCGACTTCAGCCCAAGGGGTGAAATTTATACAAATAAAATATAAACATGCCATGGAGCAGACTCTCTAGCCAGAGTCAGTTGAAGTTATGAAATGGCCAACTATTTGCAATCAGATAATCAGTGTTGTTTCGCTCCAAAAAGACAGGGCCTTTCAAGATCAGCAAACTCTAAACCAGGGAGTTGGACAGTGCTTGCAGAGTTGCGTTTCTTTTCAGACAAGGCTGTCCTTTTAAAATTGCTGACTGTGCAGAGACAAGGCTTTCATAACCTCTAAGGCCAAAAGCACATCTCAACAATAGCTGATCAAACGAAGGCGTTTCACCAGGAGAAAATCAAGTTGGTAGACATGTAAAGAGGCAGGAGACAAAGCAACACCAGCCGCAGCTCACCTTTGCCCGATGCTTTCGCCTGTCCCGTGCTCTTCACCTGCATTTGGTCATTAAGCTTCGCATTACTTGCACGAGGTATGTCTCATTATTACTCTCCTTCTAAAACATGAGGATTTATTTAATGTACAGTTCCTTGAAAAGCAGTGGGTATCATAAAATGTTAATCATTGGTGACTATTACTGTTGTCGGGTGAGGCTTCTGGTTGTAAGAATAAAGGCAGTTCACCAAGGGAGTGGCTCAGAAAAGACCTGGAGAGGATTCGTCCCTGGCTGGAAGCAACACCCTCACTCCCAGCCCTGCCAACTTCAGTTCTATTCCCAGAATTCACTGTTCTGAGTTCTAAAGAATTTTTTGCATTCCAGAATTCCATATTGATTTGAAAATAGATGCCTGTAGAGTGGACAGCCTATGCTTTCAAATGTAACAGCAGGCTGAAAGCATCCTGTATTTAAAGCAAATATTTATTAGACACTGATCGGTTTGGTATTAAGACAGAAGACATTACCAGGATAAAGGAAATTGTGAAGTAAGGCAGTAACATCTAGAATTTCAAGACACAGTCAGAAGCAGGTGCCCCAGGAGGCCATGCCTGGTCTGCAGGAGGCCTGCATCTGGCATGACTTGCTGGGACTCAGTTCTCAGCTACAACCCAGAGAAATTACACAAAATGATCCCTGCCTCTTCTTAGATTCTTGACTCTTGAAAGCAATGCTTCCAGTGTGATTAACTAGAATAATTCCCTCCATACTATTATTAAGTTTTATATTTTGATTTGTCTTACATTTATATTTTAATGAGTAGAGTATAAAATGAACACAATTTTTTTTTTTTTTTTTTGGTACGGAGGATCGAACTCAGGTCTTTGTGCTTGCAAGGCAGGCGGGTGGAACAACTGAGCTGAATCCCTGGCCCTCAGTGTATTTTCTTAATACCACTGATTAAAATTAGATGTTGTAGTTTTAAGGGAAGGGGCTATGACTTTAGCTTTGCTTGAGTTATTTCTTAATGTGGAATTATTTTTATTGGTCAAACAGTTTATTCTACAGAAACTATTTCCTTCTGTGAAAGGGTTAAGTAAAAACAAGAAAAATAAATATTATAAATCTTAGCTGTTTTGTAATTCTCTTGTCTACTTGCATGGATGATTTTTCTATACACACATCCAGTATTTGAACTAATAAACATATTTTAATTTGTGTGTTCTTTCAGGGAGAGCCACTTGATAGCCAAGACTTTGGCTGTAGCCAGTAAACTTTGGAAGTAGCCAGTAAACTACATGGCTTCTAAAGACAGACGAAAAAATTTCATTCTGGAGTGAGCACGTTATAATGTGAGTGAGATGTGTTGAAACGCTCTCATTCAGCTTGGAATGGGTGAACGAGTAGTTTGCTAATTAATGCTAATAATTTGCAGAAAAAGTAGGTGGAAGGCCAGGCATGGTGTATGTCTGTGATTCTGGCACTCCAGGAAGCTGAGGAAGGAGGATCACAGGTGCAAGTCCAGCTTGCATAATTTAGTGACTTTACAAGACCCTGTATCAAAAGAAAAATAAATTCTAACAGGCTGGGGATATACCTCAGTGTGAAGGTTCTGGATTCAAAGCTTGGTACTGGTACCCCCAAAAGCAAGCAAGCAAGCAAACAAACAAACAAACAAAAGCCTACATGTAAATTCCATTCTCCACTTACATGTTGATTCTGTCTCTGACCATGGTCAAGCCTTCATTAGTTGATATAGCATTTGTTTACATCTCCTTCACAAATCAAAGGAAATAATACTAGGTTCTTAAATATTCTTTAAGGAAAAGCACATTCTATTATGAATATTATAGTGGATTTATCCTTTCTAAAAGTCTCATATTCAAATATCCATCTATAGTACTTTATAACATCATTACAGAGCAAACTTCAATATAGTAGAAGGAACAATTACTTATTATCACCTAATAGAAAATGAGGTCAATGAGAGAATAATAAGAAAATCTTGGTGGCTTGGGGAAATGAAGTAACAATGACATCACATTCACCTTCTTGGTTTGGGAGCTTTTACTGGTTTCTGCTATCTTTTAAATCACATGTAAACATCTTGTCTAAATTTCAGATTCTTTTATCAACTCACAGTCTTGAGTTTTCTAACTTTTGTGAAAATCCCAACTGGTCATTGCTTCTACTTTTTCCAAATAACCTGCCCGTTTCTTGCCACAAAGTAACATCAACAACAGCGACAACTAATACTTACTTAAGACCCCTTCTGTGAAAGAACGAAGACTTCCTTTCTCATCTTCACTATTTTATCATTACGTACAGACTCCAGTAAATGAATGGGAGTGATACCAACAAGAGAGTGGAAACAGAAGCCTCAGGGCCTCCTTCTTCTCATGAAGCCAACAGCCCCACAACAGTACGGGGAGCAATTCCCACTGTGAGAAATTCGGAAACCAGGTAGGGGACTCCTGTCTCACTCCAGGTGCTCCCAAAACCCACTTCATTGAAGGCAGTAGGGAAATGCATGACGACCCTTCACCACGGTCCCTCCGCACAGTGCAGCACAGTGTGCAGTGTGTGATGGCAGAGAGGGACTCCCAGCTCCTGGCTTCCTTGGAGAAAGGAAAGAGAGGACTACAGCCTGTGTCCAAAGTCAGATACTTGCAGGAATTCAGAGCCTGTGGACAGAGAAGAGGCAGCCGCAGAGGCGGAGTGAGGAGCCCCAGCCTCTCTAGCCATATGAGTAGCTCACGATGCTTGGGGAAGGCTGCTGTTTTTCTTCAAATGTGCGAATCCCAACAGAAAGGTACAGGTGTACAAAGAAAGAGGGAGCCCAGGCACAGAAAGCAAACAAAATAAACCCCTAAAAATTGATGCTAAAGAAATTGTGGGAAACGTAACATCTGGTTAGCAATTCAAAGTAACAGTCTTAAGGATGCTCACTCACCATTTCAGAAAAGCCATGTATGAATGAAATAGAACCCTGGCAAAGAGATAAAACATAGAAAAAAAGAATCAACAGTGTTAGGAATTCAAGGATAACAGAATTGAAAAATTTACTAAAAGGCTTTAAGAGCAAACTTGTTTAGGCAGAAAAGTCAATGAACTCAAAGACAAGACATTTGAAATTATTCAGTCAGAGGAGCAAAAGAAAAAGGGAGGAAAAGAAACAAAGAAAGCCCAGGAAATTATAAATGACTACTGAAAGCCCTGAGAATATTCGGTATAGTGTAGGCGCTCGTGAAAGATCAGTGTAACTGACTCTTCCTTTACAAATGTGAGGTTGCTCTGCTACAGGACTGCTTTCCCCAGTTGCAAGTAAAGATGTCTCTGCTCTAGAATTCTTCCAAAGTCTCAACCGCAAAGGGTTACGGGCACTGTCTGCAGCTGGGAAGTAGGAACGTGACCGGTTGGCAGTCGGAAGTAGACGTAGTTTAGCCAGATCCAGGCTGAGAGCTTGGGCCAGCAAAGTTTTGTTAAAAGCATACGGGAGAAGAGATGGTAGCAGTTCCCGCATTCAGCACACCTGTACACGGCTTTGGCGTAGATAGATTTTGTGCCTGATATTCCTGAAAAGACCGGCCCGTGATAATGAAGGTGAGGGTTAGGGGATCCCGCTCGCCAGATTTGATTTCCTCTGTTAGCCCGAGGCACACATTGCTACAGACTTCTGATTCCTTTGCAGCTTTTCTCTGAGTCTTAGAACAGTATCTATCAGACCTAGAAAAGGATGGCAGTGAGACACACTTTCCTTTTAAAAATGTGTTCATTTTCAAGGAAAACAGAAAGACACGGTCCGTGGTGATCCCGACATTAAAACTAACTTCGCCTCTCTGCACTAAAATGACCTCACTCGGCGACTCCGGATGCCTCCAGAGACATGTAGAAGGCAGTCAGACTTATCCTGGCTCCCTTAGAAGAACTCAAAATGAAATGGTGACTTTGGTTTCTGAGGCTATGATCAATAGCCATTAAGCAAATGAGGAGACTTTTACTTCTAGGGGAAAGAAAGCACTTAAAATACCTTGCATCAATCTCAAAATTCTAGGTACCCAGACAGTGCAGGTGCAGTGGGGTTTTTATCACGACACACCGCACAGATTTTGTGCCCAGGAAGTATCAGGTTAGCTCAAGAACAGATTGTCGATTAAAATAAGAGCTAAAAGTTCAGCTCTCAGAGTGTTTTGAACTTGTGCGGCACATTCAGGGAGGAGACATCCTGGAGAAGAACAGAAATAGATGAAAGCTATAGATGAGGAGGAAAATCCGCTGTGAGCCAAGCGTGTGTCTTCAGCCATGTCGCTGGCTTCATGTAAATGCCAGGCATCATCTTATATACAGCTTAGATGTAGCAGATGTTGGCATTTAAGTATAGGTTGCCACAAGAGAAAATTGCCCTTGAATGAAACAGGAAGTTTCAGGCAGAGAAAAATGATTTTCCCAGTTAACAGTTATAGCCTCAGTAACAGAACTGTTTTCAGCCAGAGGTTGTGGGGTTGAAAAGGAGGAGAGACATAATGATACCTCCATTCCAATCTAAAAAAGATAGAGAATCAGCTTTGGTTTAAACTGCAATGTGTGGGCTGTACAGATAGAACCTTCTCCTCCCTCTCTTGTCAGACCTCAAGGCTTCACTCTAAATGGGACAAATCACACCCTTCGTAGTTCTGCTCTGTTTGGTACAGCTGCTTGCTGCAGGTGGTGTCCTAAAAATATATTGCTTGTTTATTTTGCCATAGAGCCGTCTGCAAAGTGGTACCTAAAAGTGCAACTGCTCCCTTCTCTCCCTGCTGGCGGGTGATACGCACGGTAGAACACCAGGCCACTGCCAAACCTCGCCTGAGAAAGTCGGCACAGAGCCACGGGTAGCTCGTGCTGGAGGCGCGGCTCCTGATCAATTCCATTTGCTTTGGAGTAATGAAGCCAGTTTGACAAGTAGACTATCTGTCATCAGAACCCTGACGGGGGCCTCGGTGAAGCAGGGCCAAGCACCAGACTGCCTTTGTTGGGTGAATAACTGTGCTGCTTGAGAGATTAACATCTGTAAGCATGAGGGATATAAGAAGAAAAAAAAATCAATAATGCGTCACCGAAAGAAAACACAAGCAGAGACGAATCGCAGGGAAAGGTTCAAGGAGACACCCTCACACAGAGCACCCAGTGATTTTTTGGTTTATGTTCCAAAGATCTAATAGTTTTTCCAGTACCACTGGCTGAATACTCAGGATTAATATGGCTTTTCTCACAGAACTTTTGAGCACCACAGTTTATATTTGAAAGCGCTGCTTAAACTATGATTAAAACAAAGGCACATTGAGTTAAGATTATAACGCTGTTCTAGATTACTTCTTTGAATGGATCTTTAAAGGGCACCTCCCAAAGCTCACAATTTACATGACCTAGTTAGGACAGAGAGGAGAAGGACGACAGCAAATGGCTCCAGTAAATGTTTGGCAAGGATGTGTTTACCATAAAAATCTGACTTCAATGCGACTCTGATTAGTAGGTTTTATCATCCCAAGGGTAAATAAGTGAAATGAAAAGGTTTTCCAAAACTGCACCGAAATATACTGGCTCCCAGCATGCGAATCGCTGATGTGTATCTGAAGTCAGTGACGCGTGTGGCTACCAGGCAGGAGAGATGGTACCCCAAGAATGATGGCGGGGTCCCCACCCAACCCTCACTAGCGGGTGGGTGTTGTTCACCCCGGAGGCTAAGGAGAGGAGCACAGGGATGAAGGCTCTAGGAAAAGAGTGTTTGGCTCATGTTGGGGCAGCCGGGCAGGCAGAGGAGGCAGGGTGAGAGAGAGCAACCTGAAAAGAGAGAGCTGAGGCTGAGACAAGTGTGAGAAACAAAGAGCATGGGACGATCTGATTCCAAAGGAAAGTCATGAACTAATTTACGAAAGAGGAGGATTTGAATGGAAAGCAGAAAAAAGGGAGAAGAGAGATGAGAGAAGCCCATTTCCTGTTGGGCTTGTGATCCATGTTTACGGGCTGGGGTCAAGGCTCTACGGGGCGGACGCCAAGTGTGCCCTCAGGCAGAGCTCACGACTGCCCTCGGCAGTCCCTGGACAGCAGGCCTGGCCCTCACTGGCGCCCATCATGACTCTCCGCAGCGTCTAGCTCTGAGCAGGTGAAGAAATTTACTCGCAATGGGAAACATTAGATTGACTCTCCAGAACTTCAAATCACCATTTGACAACTGCAAACTTTTGCCCACTGAAACTTAGGAGCATCAAATTGCATCGCTGCTTGCGTTGTTAACTCAATCATTAATTTAACCGTCTGTCATTGACCTCTGTTCTAGGAGCAGTGAGTCTGGGGAGAGCTCTGTAGTCTGGATATGAAGTGCAGTATGTGATAAAATGAAACCAAGAAAGGAAATCATCTTTTTCCATGAATACAGAGTCATATCCACCCCATAGAAATGAGATGAACATTCTGCACAGACTTGATGCCACTGGGAAAGACCAAAGCTGAACACATGGGGGGGACCAGCAATTAGGTTTTGCTGGGGATCCCTGGCTGCCGTCATCCAGAACGAGGTGAAGTCCCTGATGCATTACAGGGAGCAGTTATAGTCCACCGCACTGCGTGCTGTCTTGGTGGAACCCTGTTAATGGTGCTGTCTGAGAGCCAGGACGCATGTGTCATGGAGACAAGTCCACACCACTACTCCACTGCTAGGCTGTAAGTCTTCAATTCCAGGGTAGCTGCTGCAGCAGCTTTGGAATTTTCAGAATATAAGTTTAAACCAAAGAAAACATGAGCGTTTCTATGTCATTTTAACTCAGAGCCCAGACTCCTAATCACAAGACAGTAAGGGAAAGGCCAAACATACTGTCTCACCTAGATTTGGTCAGGCTTTCATAATATTTTTAATTATTATCAGCTTCAACTGACAATGTGCTTCTCATCGTTTAGTTATGAACAATGTAGAGTCTTCTAAGTTTGTGAAATAAGTACACTGATGCAAAGGAACAACTCTGAGACCCTGACTTGAAACTTTTCTGTATCTCACAGCATAATTTCAGTTACAATTTGGTTCTTGTAGTAAAATGCGTACCGTGTGTTATGGCTTGTGTCTAGGTGTCTCCCCAAAGCCTCATGCAGTCATGGTGGGGTGCTTTGCAGAGGTGGCTGGATCTAGAGTGTGTGGTGTGGGGATCAAGGGTGTGTGGTTACTAAATCAGTCCACAGTTGTGGATAGGATTATGGATGTGAGTGCTATACCCACCCTAGGGCAGGTGGCCTGCATAAAATATAAGGGACAGCAAGGGAGCTAGTGTGTTTCTGCCTGTCTGCTTGCTCTGGACTGTTTCTCCTCTGTGATGCCCCTCTGCCAAGCCACCCTGACTTGAAGCCAGCCGACTATGAACTGAAAGCACTACAAACTGTGAGCTAAATAAATCTTTCCCCCTTTAACTTTGGGTGTTGAATATTGTGTTTCAGCAAGGAAAAAGAGTAACTAAGACACAATGGTAGGACTAAATCAACCCAGATGTGGCATTCAACTAATAGAGTGGCATGAAATTATAGGAGGTATGAGTTGTGAAACTTAGAAATTAAAAACAAAAAGAGAACATCCCCATAATTCTGTGATGGGAATGAATATTCTGAGATCAGTAAAGTGGTGGAAAAAGAGGGTGAGAATGTGAAGATGAATGACTTGGCGACTCTGGATCATGCAGGAGAAGCGATTTGTATCTGCAGAGTAGCTGAAAGGGGAGCTGTGGAAAATCACTTAGTGAGAGAGGAACAAGGCCTGCATTTCAGGATATAAGAAAAAATGAACTCAAATTGTCCTCGGAGCCTTAACGTTTCCCATTTCAATCCATGACTCGGAAACCACATGTGAAGTTAGCATTAACTAAAACAATCATGTAACAACTGCTTCTTAAATTTTAGTAAGATACTATTATGAATTAAGTTAGAAGTTCACACCAAATAAAAGGATGTGAGTGAAACTGTGACACTCACTCAGGGTCACAGATGGAGAGGAATTAAACATGTCAGTGGCAGCTGAGGAGAGTGTCGGAGAAGCGTACACAGAAGAGTCAGAAATAACGCAACCCCGATGAGGAGAGGAAAGTGGAAAGCGGTGAGGACCCCGCACTGGGCCTCGCTGAGGGAACAGTGTGTGGGTTGAGAATGGCAGAGGTTTAGATCTCAGTTATATGATGGGGGAAAGCACAAGGTGCAGCCAGAGCATAGCAGATGGCTCTGTTTCTCCTGTGTAAACACCAGTTAGCTTAAGTTTGTTGCCCATATTTTTATTCTTTTCTACTCAAGTAGAACACACTAAATAATAAATTATTGCTCATATTATAGCTGTCAGTGTAAATCATGTTTGTATCCTTCCTTTGAGAATGTTTTACTCTTATTTAAAAACACTAACACATCCTACTGTTATTATTCTTTCACTGTGATTAGAAGTTCCAGTGAAGAGGAAATTACCATCAAATATGTATTTATTAACAATTTTGTATCATAATAACTGATCATGACTGGAAAGACATACTAAAAAATGATACTGTGCATTACAAAGGAAGATAGTGATGTTTTATTCCAGGCCAGTGGCCTTTAAAGTTTTTTATAAAACATTATATCTTGGCCTATTTTACGTATACTTTACTTACTTCGGAACTAATTTATGATTTAATATAATTCATTTTTGAAATAAATTTATGATTATAAAATTAAATATAAGAAATGCAGTAGTACAAGATTCATTGCACAATGTTCTGCTGCAGTTTAAATTTCCGTTTTTTTTTTGGTACTGGGAATTGAACTCGGGTCCCCGTGCTTGCAAGGCAGGCGGCAGAACCACTGAGCTAAATCCCCAGCCTGATGGCTTCAGTTTAAATCTATAGCATTAAAGAAGACACAATTATTGGAGATTGTTGCAGCATATAATGTGGGCAGGCGGCAGAACCACTGAGCTAAATCCCCAGCCTGATGGCTTCAGTTTAAATCTATAGCATTAAAGAAGACACAATTATTGGAGATTGTTGCAGCATATAATGT